GGAGGAGTTGCACCTACCAGGCTATCATCTATTCTATGATGTAGTTTGTAAATATTCAAAACTCTCTCTCTCTCTCTCTCTCTCTCTGTGTGTGTGTGTGTGTGTGTGTGTGTGTGTGTGTGTGTGTGTGTGTGTGTGTGTGTGTGTGTGTGTGTGTGTGTGTGTGTGTGTGTGTGTGAGTGTGTGTGTCTGTGAGTGTGAATTGAATGAACATTAAGATGTTTTAAATATAGAAGACGTTGATAAGTGAATAAACTCACACATCCTTTGACATTTCCAGAATATTTGTTTTTGGAAGTTCATGATAGTATTAACATTTGGAAGAATGTAGGAAGTAAAAGACATCCATCTTGTGGGAAGGTTAAAAGTCTTTTATTCTAAAATTTATTTTGCAAAACTTGGTTTATCTGTAGCTGGGAGGTAGCTGGCCTGAAATGCAGTGAATCTGAACAGTCATTGCCTTGATTTTAACTCTGTGGGGCTAGTGAGGCTACTACCTGTGGGTGGGCCACACTGATCACCGGCTCCATTCTTCAGGGATCTGGGCTGAGCTGGAGGCCTGGGTTCTACATAGGGGGCTGCTTGCTCACTGCCTTCTTGGCTTTCTTTATAGTTTATTTGCATCAGGAATGAGGGCTTCTTAAATGGCAACTGGCTTCGTGGAAGGGGAACTGAAAGTGGCAAAGCCCAGCTGTTAAGTATTCAGGTGTCATCTTGGATGCCACAGAATCAATTCTTCTATGTGAAGAGTTCTCTGGTCTTAGACAGCCTTGAATCCTGTCTAGATTTGAGAGAAGGAGGGAAACTCTGCATATCAGTGCACATGTGACAAGGCACAGTTCAAAACAAAGTATGGGCTCATGGTTGGTTAGTGGGTTGGTACGGCCATCATCCTCTATTCTACCCCTCTACCAGGGAATTTTCTCTGTAAGAAATGTTACTTAGCAATTTTATGTACAAGGAGAATTAATGGCTGTGGTGGTTTGAATTAAAAGGCCCCCAGAGGCTCATAGGGAGTGGCACTATTGGGAGGTATGGCCTTGTTGGAGTAGGTATGGCCTTGTTGGGGGAAGTGTGTCACTGGGAGGTGGGCTTTGAGGTTTCAGAAACTTAAGCCAGGCCCAGTGACATTCTCTCTTCCTGCTGCCTGTTGATCCAGATGTAGAACTCCCAGTTCCTTCTCTAGCACCGTGTCGTCCTGTGTGCCACCATGCTTCCTGCCACGGTGAAAATGTACTAATCCTCTGAACTGTAAGTCAGCCCCAACTAAATGTTTCCTTTCTAAGAGTTGCTGTGTCATGGTGTCTCTTCATAGAAACCCTAACTGAGACAATGGTCCAGGGTTCCTATGCCCCATTCCCCAGTCAATGCTGGGCTAACTCCCTTATCACCAGGCTTCTCCTGAGCTGTGATGAAATCTGCAAAGTGATTTTCTCTGGATCTGATCTCTGGGTTCCAGAACTGTCTACTGTTGGGAAGGAAGTAGCCAGCCTGTCCCCAAAGCAGGAGCCAGGGCAGTTTGCCAATGGAGTTATCTCTCAGGTTTGGTTTCACAGACAAGACTGACTCTGAACTTTTCCCTTTCTCTACAAGGCCCTAGATGCCAAGCTGCTGTCTCCAAGAGTCCATCTTGGAGACACTTCACATCTCTGGTCCTGCTAGCTCCCATGGGGAGGACAACTGACCCCTTTAGAGACTCTTGTGTTATTGAAGTGATCATTCCTATACCTTAGGTGCTTCCCGAAGACTTGCTCATTCATAGATCCTGACGCTGGTGCCCTGAAAGCCACTTTCACTCCGATGTAAGACTCCCACCCTAAAATTTGAGAGAAGGAGTTTCCCTCCTTCTCTCAAATCTAGACAGGATTCATGGCTCTCTAAGACCAGAGAACTCTTCACATAGAAGAACTGATGTAGAAGTGAGTGGCACATCCACTGGTCCACAGTGACTGTGAAGATATGTAGGTAGACACATATTCCTGTTTGTGTTGAACACCAGCCCCAACAGGAGTCTCCCAATAACTTCTTTGAAAACTCTTGACTGACTCCAGAGCAAAACATAAACAATAAACTTGTTTGTGCACATGTGCACAAAGCAACCATGCTGCAGTAAAATCCAGATGCTGTAGTATTTTATCCAATGGTCTAAAGGAAGAGGGGTGGCCTGACCACAGTGGAATCTGCCTCCAGAGTCAAAGGGGAAGTTTCTGGAACCTTCTCCCACCCCAGTAAGACTTCAAGAGGTCGTGGAAAAGTCCCTGGTTCCTGGTAGGAACAGCTTTCTGAGAAAATAGCTTTTATGTGATGCAGTTTCCCTGGGAGTGATCCAAACATTCGACATCTTTATTGGTCAAATGATACAGAAGCCCAGAGAAGTGAGGGGACCCAAGCAAGGTCAGCAAGCTGGAGGGTGATCGAGAAGCTCATGGAACCCAGAAGTACTCCTCTCCAGGCCAGACACTCTCCAAACATATCCTCCCTCCGTGTGACTGTTGCTTGACCAGACAGGATTAGCAACCCTGAAGTGCTGATACTTGCATTTCTGCCTGCTCAGAGCAAGGAAAGCAGAGGAAAAAGGAGAGATGGACTCAGGGGCTGGAGAGTGCTTGGGCAACCTCAAGCCTTAAAGAGTATGGAGAGATGGGCTCTCCAATACCTTGTGCCTCTCCCTAAAGCACAGAGCTGGGGAAGATGACCTCAGGACGCAATGTAGACAAAGGCACAGATGTGGGACCTCCAGAAACACAGTGGCCCCATTTGTGAGAACCTGACTTCCCAGCACATAGACTGCAAATGTCTGGGAGAGAATACATCTTTGTGATTGGTGGAGAAACCCAGAGAGGGGCAGTGATCAAGAAACAGAGCTGGTGAAGATGACAAGGAAAGAATGATGATGGGTCCTTGATGAAGGCTGATCATTGTGAGTCGGAAGTCACCTCCACTTCACACATAGGTAGGGGTGGCTTTGAATGACTTTATGTGTGTGTGAATACTGAGAGGGTAGAGGCCAAAGAGCAGAGCTCCCTCAGCCTTGTCTTTGTTTGGGACATTGAGTCGGCAGAGGACAAAGAAGGTACAGACTGGTCGCCTTCTATGTCAGATGCTAGGAGGCATTTTGGGAGGGGCATGGGAGATAGGGGTAGAAGGGAAGGACACGGAAGGACACGGATGTGGAATGTGGACTTGGGAGTTACACAGATGCCTAATTAACCAAAGCCATTTGGAGACTTGACATTTTGAGATGCTAGGACTCTGGGACCTGGTCCTCTTCAGGCCCCTAAATATTTAGTGGAGTCTGGATTACAGCCACCAGCTTTGGCTTTAGGAGGAGTGGGGAGGGATGGATTGGATTGGAAGAAAACAGCTGGGGTCTCTCCCAGTTACACATGAAGAGGGGGAGGGGTCTGCCTCTGTCACCTAGAGGGGGCCCCAGTACAGGCCCTAGTGCAGGGGCTGGAGTGGGGAGTGTGAGATCTTAGACTTGCCCACCAACACTGAGCAGGAGAAGGAAGGTAAAGTCCACATTGTCCCCACCTCAAGGGCTAGCAGTTCTCCAATGGCACATTCTTGTTGTTTAGTAGACTAATACCATGGCTTAGTTGTAATGAGGCCTCAGGGACTTCCTAGGGGTTTGGCTAGTCTTAAGGTCAGAACTATTTTTTACAGAGATGTGAGTTGGCCAGGACTTGGATTTGCCAAACTAGAGTCTTTTATTCCTTTCCCGAAAGACCCTTAAGCATTAGGCAACATGGATAATACCTGAGGGCAATGGGCACACACATTAGAATATAGTCACAAGGGTTGAGGGGAAGGCTCCGCCAGTACAGCCAGTCTTCAAGGCTGAGGGGAAGGCTAAGCCAGCACAATGCTTTCCTTGAAGGCAAGCACGAGTTCCGAGTATCCCGGAACCACAGGGGAAATAAAGACGATGGTACCCTGGAGAGATGGCTTGGTAGGTGAGAGTGCTTATTGGCCTTGGAGAGGACCTGGGTTCAGTCTCCGGCACCCACATAGCAGCTCACAACTTCTGGCCTCCATGGGCTCCTGCAGGCACGTGGTGCACATAAATACACACAACCACACACATATACATGTAAAAAATAAAAAGAAATAAGTAAATTTATTTTTCAAAAATAACAGGCAAGATGGGCAAGATGGGTGTGGTGTTAATCTGAGCTCTGGGAAGTCAGAGACAGGCTGAGCCCTGGGGCTCAGGAGCCAGGCAGCCTAAACTACCTGGTGATCTGTGGCTCAGGGAGAGACTCTGTTTCATAAAAATACCAAACAAACAGGTAGATAACATCTGAGGAATAATTATTGTCCTCTAGCCTACACACACAGAGAGAGAGAGAGAGAGAGAGAGAGAGAGAGAGACTCACACACATATAAACAACACACACATACACACAAACATATATATCTACACACATATGAACCCCTACCACACAAACACACAAAAATATATGCATGTATGTGGATGTATTTGCTCACATGACAGTACAATCTCTAAGTCACTTACGTATAAAAGAAAAAGGACAATTTCCCTTTACCGTCTTCAAATTACTGACTGGGGAAGAAGCTACAGCCCCCAACTTGGAGGCTCTCCAGTTCACCTATACACTGAAGAGAACAGTTCTGTTAGAGTAACATAAGGCAGGCTGCTGAAGTGGGCACAGAGTGCCCTGTATGCACCCATTGCGTGGGGAACCCTCAGAGCGTACAGGGACGGGAGTGGGTGTTGGTGAGCAACAGCTGTGCTGTCGGAACGTGACGTGGAGGCTCACACGTGCCTGAGCTCATGAAGAAGAGAAATGGAAGGTTCGTGACATCTGTGAAGTTGGTGACTAAGACAGAATGATGAGGAGGACTTTGGCGATTTCAGCAGAATTCTTTATTCACTGGAGGAGGTGGTGATTAATGCGGGGTGGAGCTGCACGAGGCAGACGGTGGAGAGGCATGGGGAACAGATGTGGCTGGAGGAGCTGCCCAGAGGTCAGCACTAGGGAGGGGCCTGGATTCTGTGGGCAGAGTCCGGGGATGCTCTGCTTGGAATTGTGATGGGGGCGAGATGAATGGTCTAGCAGGAGGCCCTGAGCGGAGGCCCTGGCTAAGAGGCAGCTGCCTCCCTAGTGATGCTGGAATGTAAAGAAAAGCTTAGTCTTCCATGATAGATGGTGGTGAAATCAAACCCGAAGGGGTTTCGGGAGCTAGAAAAGTCATCTTGGCCTGAAAGACAGCAATATAATATCCAGAGAATTTGAACCAAAAGTCCTACAGTCCTACAGTGAAATGGCCGGTACTCACCTCCCAGCTGCTGCCTGACAAGGTTTGAAAGGTAGGGATGAGAAAAGCCTTATGCAGGGGAATGTTGAAGAGAGATATGGTCTCTATTAGTTACTTTTCCTCTTGCTATAGCCTAATACCTGGCAAATCGCCGTTGAGGGGTAGCAAGGTTTGTCGTGCTTACAGTTGTAGGGGATTCGTACCATCACTGAGTGAGAAGCATGGCAGGGGGAGCTTGGGGTGGGTTAGCAATCAGAACAGAGCGGACAGGAAGTGAGGGGCTTGTCCATTGTGACCCACCTCTCCATCAAGGTTCCACTTCCTCAAGGCTCTACAACCTTCCAAAACAGCGCCACCTTCTGGGAACCCAGCATTTAAACATATGAGCCTGTGGGAGACGTTTGACCTGCAAACCACAAGAAGTCAGCCTGAAAGCACCCTGTTCTTTGCCAAATGCCCTGCCCTCTGCAGGCAAAGAAGAACATGACCACAGCAGTGCCAAGACCAGACCAACAGGAACTTCCACGGTGAGAAAGGAGGGGAGGGCGTGTGATATGGCTTCTGGCTCTGCTTGTGACTCTGGGTCATGGGCCTTCACAGTCCCCGATCTGGGGAAGAGAAAGGTCAGGAGGCAGATGTTTGCTACTCAGGCCTGGCTTTTGTCAACCTCCAGTGAGCTCCTCCCAGTCTGGCTGATGCACTGGCAAGAAAGGAAAGGGATTGGGAATCAAGAGCAAAACTCAAAGGCGTCTATGTTGAAACGCACAAAATCTTTCCTATCTGGTAATCCCCTCCTCTGGCCTCCCTGGTCCCCACATGCTGTCCTAAAAAACATTTCAGGGAAATAACACATGAGACAGTACCAGGGAGAGGAGAACCAGCTGATACACAAGCGTAGCTGGACTCTCAACTTTGGGGTTAGCTGTCTCTGGAGGGCAGAGACCAGACAGGGAAGGTACATTCTCCCCATGGGGCAGCTCTGCCTTGCAGTCAGCCTCCTGCCCAGGCTCTGTAGTCACTCCAGGCTCTTTCAGTAATCTAGCACGTGATAACAGGGGCCTGTTTAAACAGGCTTATCCATATGTTTATTTTACAAGATACTTTCTGGGCAAATCTTAGCTGTATGACTTTGATATCAAGTTGAGCCCTTTTCGCTCCTCACTCAGAGCACCCAGTGAAGCCGAGGCATTGTGAGCGCTGTGTGAAGCTGCTCCAAATGCAAAGCACCGGCCAATGGAAACCTTGGTTATCACTCGGTTCTGAGTCTCGTCTGCTAGATGCGGCGATCTGTCTTACATGGTATCTGTCCACTAGCTGTCAGTGGCAGCCATGCTCACTCAAGAGAACAGGACTGTGTTCCTCATAATCAGGAACAGGCGTGGAGGTGAGCCAGCAGAGCGATCTGTCTTACATGGTATCTGTCCACTAGCTGTCAGTGGCAGCCAGGTTCACTCAAGAGAGCAGGACTGTGTTCCTCATAATCAGGAACAGGCGTGGAGGTGAGCCAGCAGGGCATCAGACTTAATCACCATGACTCCAGTCTCCTGAAGATCAGCTCCAGGGCCTGGCAGACTTAACAAGTTTTAACACCGTCAACGAAGTGATGGAGCAGTTGTCTGTGGAAAGCTGAGATCTGGGTCTGATGCAGACAGCCAAGCACTGCAGGATGCTTAATTAGTCCCTCAGACGGATGCCTCTGCCATGTGTTTGGAAATCGGTTCCCCAGATCTAGCTTTCCATGCAGAAAGTGTGGAAACACATGTGAATCTTTCCTTTCACTAACCCATGGGAAATTTTACCAGGATCTAACAATAGTCACCATTTTGCTTCTTTCTTCTTTACTTCCCTTCCCCTGCAATGTTTCTCCCCCTGTTTCCTCCTTCCCTTCTTTTCCTTTTGTTCTACACTGGGTATTGAACTTAAAACCCAAGCCCAAAACTATTCTACCTTGAGTCATATGCTCAGCCCTGGTATTTTGAGGCAGGATCTCACTACACAGTTTGGGCTGATCTTGAATTCATAGGAAGCTCAGATTGACCTTGAGCTTGTCGTCTTCCTGTCATAGCCTCCAGAGTACTGGGCTAACACCCCTCCCCCACCATGCCCTGCTTCCCCCAAGAGCTAGAGCGCTGTGCACTAACTGAGTAATTGGGATGCTGTGTCATGTTTCTCCACATGCTCCCAGCCTACTGAGAGTGTGCTCAGTAAGGTTTGACATGCACCACATGCCAGGCAGGTATGTCCTGGGTGAGCCTGCCATCAACCAGAATCCCCATATCTGCCCCACCCCAGCCATAGACCTTTCACCTAGGTCACTCATGGACCAGCCTTCTGAAGGTCTCCCGTGCACCGGAACTCCAGTCCTTCTATTCAGTGACTGCATGAGATGGGATCTGAGACTTTGGATGGTCAGTATCAAACTCCTGGGCGATGCTGATGACGCTGGACTGTGGACACAGAGCACCTGCTCTGAAATGGGATTTCCCAGCAAGCACCTCTGAGAAAGAGCAATGCACTGGAAACACCAACTCCCAACTCCTCCTCAATCCTAGTGAGTGGGGAACTAAGAGGTGACATCCTCCGCAGCCTGAGCCCGCATGCTCCTGATGACCCAACTGTATCAGCCCCACCATCTGGTTATGGAAGATTTAATGTGGCTGAACCAGGATGGGCATGAGTCAGAATTGTCATCTGGGCTGGCTCTGTGAAGGACAGGACGGCCCCAGGCAGGCAGAGAATCACCCTGCAATGGTGCTAAGAAGAAAAGGCAGCAGAAGGTGCCTGCAGACAGGTGGGCCTGAGGAAAGCTGAGAACAACCCAGAGAGATATTGGTGTCACCGTCCCTAGGCACCTGCTCTCTTCTACTGACCCTCTTGGCAGGAGCAAGTGGCAGTCTTCCCACTGACCAGTCATCACCAACAACACAAAGACAAGATTTTTTTTTTTTTTTTTTTTTTTTTTTTTTTTTTTTTTTTTTT